AACTTACATTTTTATGAACTCTAAATTAGTTAGATATATTCAAATTTTTTGTATTCCTTATTGTATTAATTTTATGTAACACAAATTTTGGTGTTCATGTAATACAATAGCATTGACTATGGTTATCGAGGGAGCACAACTGGTATTTCGATATGGGGGGTCATTTGAGACAAATCCATATGACAGACGTGTTATTTATAAAAGGGAAAATTGAAGGTTACGAAGTATAATGGAAATAGTTCATTGGATGAACTAAAAAGTTATTTTGGAAATTTAACATCGTGTGATCCCAACAAATTGATTATTATGTACCACAACACAAGTCTATCTAGTAGATTTGATTTAATTGATGTAAGTAATGATATCGATGTATCTTTTATGTTGGGAGGAGAGTCTATGGAATTTCGAATGGCAGAACCTATTGGTGATGGCCCATCTACTAGGAATAGTTACATTTACAGTTTACACTTTCATATCTAATTTGCTTTATTTAAATCTTTTATGTATACAAATTGTTGTTTTATCTTACACACTATCTTTTGTCAATAGTCGGCGTAACGCTCGTTTACCTGATCGACATGAGAACATTCAAGTAGTGTCCGAGCCAAGCTTGTACCAGAGCATGATACAGAGGATACTACACCATTTGAGAGCCCATGTAGAGGAGTTGGTAGCAAAGTTCAATTGAACATTAGGCAATTTTTTGAAAATCTCAATGAATATCAGCATCATTTAGTTGATTTTGCTACCTACAATAATTTTGTTATGAAGTTTGACAAAAGTGAAGGGACAGGTATGGGCAAGTTGTAAGTTAGAGGGATGTACATGGCAAGTGTGATGCTTACGCGTTGGTAGTACGACATACTTCAAAGTGAAGTCCATGATTAAAAAGCACACATGCAGAGGTCCAATGGGGATGGTCCATCAGCCACTAGCTTGTAGTGATTAGGTGACAAAAACAATTAAAGCCCACATTAATGACCAACCCAAAATTAAAGTCAAAGATATCATAACGGATATCCAACAAGATCATGGTGTCACGATTTCCTACATTCAAGCTTGGCAGGGAAAAGATGTTGCTAGAGAGATGATAAATTGATCACATGAACAACAATACAATGACCTCCCCTTATATATGAAGAAGCTCAAAAGAACCAATCCTATAATCAAAGTTCGCTTCCACATATATGAAGGCAGGTGCAAACGACAATTGATTGCTTTTCGTCCATGCATCATGGGGTTTTACTAATGGATGCAGGCTATTAATGTATATTGATAAGACATTTTTAAATGGAAAATATCAAGGCATATTATTGTGCGCCATTGCCGTAGATGCAAATAATGAGCTCTTCCTAATGACATTTGCAGTGGTTGAGAAGAAGAACTACCAGAGTTGTTATTGGTTTTTAAGTATACTGAGTGAACTATTGAATGAGTTTGCTAATATGTAAGCCTTAACAATTGTATCAGATCAAAAGCCTGCTAGAAACATTTTTCTAATGCTTTCCTACATGTGTTTCCAGTATTCTGCATGCAACATATGAGAGAAAACTTTAAGGGCTTTATGAAGAAGTCAACAACTATTGTAGTATTATATATGTTATTTTGGAAGGTTGCCCGTAAAACGACTATTTGTGGGTTTGACAAAACAATGTTTAATATATAGTGTACCAACCCAGAAGCATATGAGTGGATTAAGAATATCTCTCCTAAATCTTGGGCAGATGCCTATTTTTCAAAGGTGAAATACAATCATCTTACCTCTAACATAGTCGAGTCATTCAATGCTTGGATTTTATCTGCTTAAGAGAAGTCATTCATTGCAATGTGTGAAAAATTAATGGTACAGTTAATGACCAGGTTTGAAGAGAAGAGGGAGTTAGCTAATAGTTGGAGCGGCATGCTAGTACTGAAAGACAAAAAATTATTTAACTTGTAAAAGATGAAGGCAAGACTTTTATATACAGATATATCCACCATGGGTACGTAGTTTGAAATTCACTATTTTGAGAAGAAGTACAATGTCAATTTAACTCATTGGACGTGCAATCGTAGAAAATGGCAACGTTGTGGCATATCGTGTAGTCATGTCATTGCAGCTAGACCATATGCACTTGGATCCCACTGCATACTGCCTTCAGTATTTCACAGTGAAATACTTTAAAAGGGCATTTCAAACTCCCTTTGGGCCTATCCCGTATGATATTGAGTTGACTTGTATGTTCAACTGGACAGTGTTGCCACCAATGATGATATGCCTTCCCGGTAAGCCGAAAAAGCAGTGAAAAATATCAAAGACTGAACAGTCCACCACCAAGTCGTTGAAGTGCAAAAGATATGGTGCAATGAGTCATAATAGGAGGATCTGCAGAGAACCGATAGGCCATTAGGGAGTGAATCATAAATTCATAATGCTGTTTAGATTGCCATTTTGTATCAAATTGTTATTTTGATGAAATAATGAAGATCTTGAATTCGATGTTGTCAATTTTGTATTTTTGTACTTGATGTTATATACGCATCATTACATATATTATACGTAATAAAAAATGTGATATGTTTGTTAAAATAGGTGGAGATCATACTTGTATGAAAGGTCAATAGTCTCCTTTTGCACTTTCCCTAATATTAAACAACAAAAGGCAATGACTTCATACAAACTGCTTTTCTAATAGTGTTGAAAAACAAAAAAATTCAATTTTTCGGTTATTCAACAATCGGAAAATCAAAATTTTTAGTTTTTGTACAACCAAAAGCAAAGGGTTTTCGGTTGTTGAACAACCGAAAACTCAACTTCAAATTCTAGTAACCTTATAAAATTTGAAGTTGTATTTTCGGTTGTTGAATAGTCGAAAATATAAAATTTTCGGTTTTGCAACAATTGAAAATAAGACATTTTCAATTGTTGAATTTGTGTTTCGCAACAAAGGAAAATAAGACATTTTTCATTGTTGAAACACCGAAAACTCAACTACAATTCCACCAACTTTAGGGCCTATTTGGATAGAAGGAAATTAGGAATCTTAGAGATTTGAAATCCAAAAAAATCTATAGATTTTCAATATCAAAGATTTCTTTCATGATTCAACAAATCTCTTGTTTGGATAAACTATACAAAATTCATGGATTCTTTGCAATCACTTTCATGTCCATTGTTTGGTAACAAAACTTGATACAATTTCTCTCTCTAAAATTTTTATTATATACTCTCTCTCTCTCTCTCAAAAACTCAAAAGATAGTGTATCTATAAACAATTTGAGTTAGCTTATCTCTCTAAAATTTGATATGGTTTCTCCCTCTAAAATTTAATATACTTTATATCCAAAATTTAAAATTTGAAATTGTCAATCTAAAAATTTTGAGATAATTTCTCTCTTTAAAATTTTTAGGTGATTACTATCGCTAAAATTTAATATAGTTTCTCTTTCTAAAATTTTAAGATTTTCTCTAAAACTTAAAACTTGAGATAATTCCCCTCTTCAATAATTTTGAGATAGTTTCTCTCTCTAAACATTTTTAAGTAGTTTCACTCTCTAAAATATGATATAGTTGTTCTCTCAACTTTTAAGATACTTTCTCTTTCTACAAGCTAAAATTTGAGATAATTTCTCTCTAAAAAATTTGCGATAGTTTCTTTTTTAAAATTTTTTTATGTGCTTTCTCTCTCTAAATTTTGATATACTTACTCTCTTAAAATTTAAGATGCTTTCTCTCTCTAAAACTTCAAGTTTGATATAGTATCTCTCTCTAAAATTTTGAAATAATTTCTCTCTTGAAAATTTGATATATTTTCTCCCTTAAGTTTAAAAATTTGAGATACTTTCTCTCTCTAAAACATAAATTTTGTGATAGTTTCTCTCTCCAAAATTTTTGAGATAGTTTCTCTCTCTAAAATTTTTTAAGTAGTTTATCTCTCTAAAATTTGATATAATTTTTATCTTTGCAATTTTAATATATTTTCTCTCTCTAGAATACCAAATTCGATGCTTCTCCCTAAAACTAAAAAATTAAGATAGTTTTTTTCTCTGAAAAACTAAATATTTCTCTCTAAATTTTTTTTTCGGCCGTTACTCTTTCTAGAATTTATAATAATTTTTCTTTAAAAGTTTAATAATACTTTCTCTCTCTAAACTTAGGACTTGATATAATTTCTCTCTCTAAAAATTAAAATATGAGATTGTTTCTCTCTCTAAAACTTTTGAAATAGTTTCTCTCGAAAGAATTGAGATAGTTTTTCTCTTTAAAAATTTGCATGTACTTTCTTTTTCTAAAATATGATAGTTTCTCTCTAAAATTTAAAATTTGAGATTGTTTATCTCTCAAAAATTTTGAGATAGTTTCTCTCTCTCTAAATTTTTTTTGGTACTCTCTCTCTAAAATTTTAACATGCTTTCTCTCTCTAAATGTTAAAATTTGATATAACATTTTGAGATAATTTATCTCTTTAAAAAATTTAGTATTTTTTTTCTCTAAAATTTTAACATACTTTTTTTCTCTAAAATTTTAACATACTTTCTCTCTCTAAAAGTTAAATTTTGAAATAGTTTTTCTCTCTAAAATTTTGAAATAGTTCATCTCTCTAAAAAAATTGATATTTTCTTTGAAATTTTAACATGTTTTTTCTCTTGAAAAGTTAAAAGTTAAGATAGTTTCTTTCTTTAAAAATTTATTTCTAAATTTAAAAATTGAGGTACTTTTTTTGTCTAATATTTTCGTACCAACCAAGTACTCTCTATGTTTTAGGTCGAGGGAGCCAATGAGTAAAATCCATGGGCTTTGCAAATACAAAAAAAACAAGTTTTAATGTAAAAATTAAATAAAAAAAAATAAGCCTCATTTTCATGATTTTGATTTTACTGATTTTAAGTACCCTAGTCATTTAGCAATCCAAATCATATACTTTAGCAAAATCTAAGATTTACGAATCCATGCCTTAAAATCCACCGAACGGGCCCTCCTGGAGTTTGCAGTAATATTACCGAAATTTTTCGTTTTGCAAATGAAAATTAGGCCGCCGCAGCCGCCGCCGCCGCCGCCGCCGCCGCCTATCCTCTCAAATGGCATCAGCAGAGACGTTACTGGGCCATAAAACCCAGCGACCAAGCTCCTGAGGAAAAAACATCTGTCGATCATATGGTTGCTGAAAATCTTACTCTTTCTTTCCACCATGGCTTCAGCTGTTATGGCTTCCACTTCTACACCTTTTACTGACAAGGTACTCTCTCTCTTTCCTCTCTCTAAGAAACATGAAATCCATGTTTTTCTTCATTGACACTTATAGTCCGTTTATGTGTGTGATTTCAGAGCAAGCTCCTTTCTTCATCCTCTTCTGCCGCTTCTCTCTCTGGATTTCTCCCTGATTCCATCCATGTCAACAAGAAAAAGTCATCGCTTGCTATTCATGCTGTCATGGCTCCACCTCAGCCGCAACGACCTCCTTCCACCACTGGTTCTGTGAGTGCCACCCATTTGTTGAGCCTCACTCTTATTTTCCTTTCCCTCTCTGTGGGTTTCTCTCTCATCTTGGATTTGCAGGTGAAACACGCAATGACGATGACGGAGAAGATACTGGCTAGGGCTTCAGAGAGGTCGCACTTGGATCCTGGGGAGAATGTATGGGTGGATGTTGATATTCTGATGACCCATGATGTGCTTGGGCCTGGAGCTATTGGTATTTTCAAGAGGGAATTTGGTGAGAATGCAAAAGTATGGAGCCTTTATTTGGGTTTTTGGTTTCTCGATTTTGATTCCACGGTTTGTCAAATTCTAGTTTTGGCATGCATTAGATTCTCAAATTCTAGTGTTGGCCTGCATTTATTTAATATGCTTACATAGACAAAAAATAAAACACCTATAGAATGAGTGTAGCAGAGATAACAATGTTGAGATGGATGAAATACGACACCCATAGAAGGGCTTGGATGAGGATATTGAGATGGATGAGTGACAAGACAAAAAGGAAAAGAATTTATAATGTATTCGGGAAAATTTAGACGTGGCACCAATAGGGGATAAGATGATAGAGAGTAACTTAGGTGGCCTAGCCATACTTGGCATTAATAAGTACAACACCTGTTAGGAGGTGTCAGTTAGTTCGAAGAGAAGGACTGAAAAGGGCAAGGGGTAGGTTCAAAAAGACGTGGTTAGAAGTAGTCGGAAAGGATATGGGGACTTATAGCCTCACCGAGGCATGACTTTTAATAGAGCAGAATGATATACCATGATTCGTGTAGCCGAATCCCATTAATTGGGAAACGGCTATTATAATGATGGTGATGACGACATGAACATGAAAACTCATTAATCCTATGTGGTACTCATAGATGTTGTCACTGCCATTGCTGCTAATAAATTCATTGACATGGTCTTCTTCATTGTTGTTTAGTTTCCTTATCAGAAACTTGGTGGTTACAATTGAGAAATAAATAAATAAATAAAGCAATAAAATTTACAAGTGATAAGTTTGAAGGAGAACAGAGTTAGGGTGGCATAAAATTCCATAGTTCTAACCCTATATTAACCACCGTATGGGCAGAGATGAAGTTCATTATGCAAAATTGCATTAAGTTCAAATTCCATATGGTTCCCGCATACCCATTCCCTTGATAATCATTTGTGGAAACTCCACTCTAATATAAACATGAATGAATGTGGGGATCTTCTTAGATGAAACCTCTAGAACATTTGAAGACTGAGTGACCCTTTTGGTTCCATTTGATCCTGATAAGAAAGATATCATGGACGTTTAGGTATTGTGTCCACCGGATTCATCTCTTCCTAAAATTAACAATCCTAAGCATGCAATCGTAATTTTTCATTTCACATGGTTACAGAATTTTGTTAACTCAATTTTACAGAAAAGCATTATATTGGTTTTTTCTTGACATTAAGTGAAATGCTGCATCGTTATATCTATGTTTAGAATCCTTGATCTAATAGCCAACAAGAGCATGACATCAAAGATTTGCTTAACCCCTTAGGACCCACCATCCCCTTCCTATCCCTGTTACACTTTTACAATGACTTTGTGCAGACACCCACTAAGCTATAGGCCAGAAATCCCTGAGTTCAGCCATTAGGGAAGAAGAGCACAATAAACTATGTAGGTGCCTTGCCTAACATATTAGCTTGACTTTGGAGCTTAGTAAATTTTTGAAAGTTTTCCATTAGTTTTGTGCCATACTTGGAAAAGGGTGTGCACATCTTATAGGGGCGCACTTGATAAAAATAAAAATGAAAATGAAAATGTTTCTGATGATATAACACTATTAAAATATCCCTGTAACTTTCATGGGTGTTTTAGTTATTTTCTAAAATAATTGTTATTTTTGCTAGGTGCCCCCATTAAGGTGAGGGCGTCTCTTTGGTATCGGTTTTAAAGAAAGCTTTGTCAACTGATATTATCTTGCCGGTAGGCATTGTCTTAAATTTAGTACTCCATAGGGAAGGCTAAGTGTATCATGTCCCTGAGATCCAAAATCGATTAGTTGTTAGGGAAGAGCATGATAAACTGTTTAGGTGCCTCACCTACCACAATGGTTTGACATGGGTACTCGGTAAATTTTTGTAAGTTCAACATTAGACATATCCCCACACTTGGATAACAGTGGGAAGGAACCATTAGGTCGAGGTGCATGGCCTTGAACAAACCAACTATCATCTCTTTTACGTTGGTTTAAAGAAAGTTTTGACGGCTCATATTATCTTGCTAGTAGGCATCGTCTTAGATTTAATATTGTATAGAGAAGACCTAGCCAGTAGATATACATTCGTCAGAGGAAACCACCAGTGCCGTATGTAGCTTTCTCTTTTCTTTGAATAGTTGTCCCCTACCATGACTGCAAAATAGCATTCATCTGATCCTTTTGTATGAGATTAGTTGATACTTGTATCGTATATTAAATGAACATGATTTATAACTACATTCACGTACATGTCAATATCTATAGTTTATGTTCGTATCAGTATGCATTGCTGGCTAAGATCAATTAATTATAATATCTGTCCTTAACACTTTTGAATTATGATGATTTTGACATACTTCTGTTTTTGAGTGTTAGGTTTGGGATTGTGAGAAGGTCGTAATTATACCGGATCACTATATTTTTACAAATGATGAACTTGCAAACCGAAATTTGGATAGCTTGAGGGATTTCTCCTTGGAGCAGAATATTAAGTATTTCTATGATATAAAGGATCGTAGTAACTTTAGGGTATGCATCTCTGTCTCCCATCTCATGTTGTCTCAACTCTTGGAGGTTAAAAGCCTTAGCATCTTTGTTGTATTAAATGGTTGATTTGGAAATCTTATTGCTTAAAGCATCTCTTGGTTAATGTCCCATGATTTAAAGGACACACCCTTTCCCACAGGCAAACCCTGATTATAAAGGTGTATGCCATATTGCCCTTGCTCAAGAAGGACACTGTAGGCCTGGTGAGGTATGCTTTTTTTTCTTTATTCATAATATTGATCAATGACTAGGTGGAAGGTTTCTCTAGAACAGGTTTTCAAGCTTTCGATTTTCCATTCAGGTCCTGCTTGGAACAGATTCCCATACATGTAATGCTGGAGCATTTGGACTGTTTGCTACGGGTATTGGAAGCACTGATGCCAGTTTTGTAATGGGAACTGGGAAAGCTCTGCTTAAGGTAAGCCCCTTTAGTGTCTTTCAGTGCATTGAGGTTACTTTTTTTCTTCTTTCTTTTCTACACATATGTACATAAGAATGTGAAAAGGCACGATGTTGGCAGTGATGGAATTTAATACACTGAAAAGTGATCACTACTGCATCTACTGATTGATTTTGTTTCTTAGCTCCTTTTGAGGCTGGAAATCAACAACTGCCAATTATAGTACTCCTGATTTGTGGAAGTGCAGGTTCCACCAACTTTAAGGTTTGTCTTGGATGGGGAAATGCCTGACTATCTTCTTGCTAAGGATTTGATTCTTCAAGTAAGAGTTCCTGTTTTAAGTTTATTATGTTCTTGCTTTCTCATTTTTCAACTAGTTAACATGTTATTCACGGTTGGCCCTTCCCAGGCATTGTTGAATCTTGTTTACATCAGATGTTCTATTTCATTTAACTTTAAAATCGTTACGCCTTTTCCATATCCGTGTATAGTTTACAACCACTGTAAGAGACAATAATGAGAACGTGATTGCTTCATTTGCAGATCATTGGTGAAATTACTGTGGCTGGTGCAGCATATAGATCCATGGAGTTTACTGGTTCTACTGTTGAAAGTTTGAGCGTATGTACTCATTAGCATCTGGCTGAAGTGGTTTTTGGTTGTTTAAATGTTGTGTACTTGGTTCATTTCTTTGCAATCTATTGGAACTGTGTACTTTATTCTACTTGATAGATGGAAGAGCGGATGACATTGTGCAACATGGTCGTTGAAGCTGGCGGAAAGAATGGTGTCGTTCCTGCTGATCAAACTACATTCAGTTATCTTGAAGTGTGTGCTATCTCCTGTGGTCTTGACATCTTTGGATTCTTGGGAATAACTAATGCCAGTAGTCATCATTTTGTGAATCTTGAATCAGTTTTGATGTAGTTAAATGATTGGGTCATGTTTGCTGAGGATCTTCTCTTATGTTAGAAAAATATCTGATGATGATTCCTTTTTTCAGGGAAAAACATCTGCTAAATTTGAACCTGTTTACAGTGATGTAAAAGCCAAGTAAGACCAGATTTGAATTTATCATGATTCTATTTATCCTTGAGGCTTTTTAGAGACCATAGTGTTTTGTTTTGTTTTGATTTTCTGTATGTATTCTTTTCATAGACACACCCTCTAGAGCCTGATAGTCATTCCTACTAACCAAATATTGTTTATTTCCAACATCCATTCAGTTATTATTAACTATATATGTTCAACTATCTCGGTTCTATCTTTTTTCAGATGAGTATGTTTAGAAATCTAGCCCTGCTTCCTGTTTCAAGCATTTAATTATTTCTTTGTTTTTGTCCATTTTCTGTGATAATTCATTATATAACCCCCATGTAGGCTGATTGGATGAGCGCCGCCTGTTTGATTGCTTTTCTGACAATGCGCTTTTATGAGTGCAGAATCAGCTTCATGTTAGATATTGATACTGATAAATTTCCCTTTTCTTTGGTAATTAGGTCTGGACTTCTGAAATGGACATTCAAGAGTCCTACTGGTGTTAAGTTAGCTATGAAATTGTTATGGGGCTGACAGACGGGCTGGGCTAGCCTATGGGCTGGGATTGAGCCACACTAATGGCAAGTGGGCTTGTCCCCTGTGGGATTGAGCTACACTAATGGCCAGTGAGTTTGTCCCCTGCCAGGCATACTAAGAGCCATTTATTTTCAGTCTGAGCCAGGACAAGCTTGGTCCGCCCAAAATACTAAAGACTATAGGCTGTATTTTATTAGTCTTTATATTCTATAATCTATGCTCTAGAAGTTCATATTATAGTATATATCATAGGTCTAAAACCTATGAACCTTTATATAAACATACATATAATCCATAGATTATAGGTCTAAATCCTATGAACCTTTATATAACATTGAAAGGTTATAGTCTATTGACTATAACCTTTCTATAGTTCATATAGGGCAAGGGAAAAAAAATCCCTAAATTTACAACCCCAACCAATCATTCTCTCTTCCAACTCAAAACCCTAACCAAGACTCAGCTCTCTCCACAGCTCTCTCTCTGTCATTAAAACTTGTTGCCAAAAGGTGAAAATCTTCTGTTTTCGTTTTCTGATGGGCTCAAGATTGATGGTTGAGCCAGTTCCAAGGGAGGTATGTTTTCTAGGCATGGAATGTTGTGGGATTGTTTGGGAGGGAGGGAGGGGGGGAAGGGGGGTGGGGCGAAGGGAGGGAGGCAAGGAGGAGTTAACAAAATTAGGGGTACTTTAGTCATTTGAGTTGTGTTACTTAGACATGGAATGTTATGAAAAAATAGGGGTATTTTAGTTATTTGAGGTATGTTATTTAGATATGGAATATTATTGTGTTGTTGGGATGGGTTGGTTTGGTTGTTGTTTTTCAGTGAGGGGGGTGTTAGGTCCTGCAATGAAAAATAGGAGCATTTCCATCATGTTGAGCACACAAAAAATTAAAACAATGATGTGCTTATCAGGTCCTGACCATTTCATTTTCGTGTAGGGCGCAAGTCCCAATGTAATAATTCAGGATGGCCCCTGGCCTAGCCAGAATGCAGATTCAGGCCCAGACTAGCCAAAGAAAAAAAAACATTTGACAGGGTTCTGGCCATGTCTGGCACAGCCGCACAGCCTAAGCCTTGCCCAAGTCCCGCTCGTCTCGACCCCAATTATGATTCTCCTTGCTTAATGAGGGGTGTAAGTTGGCATTGAACCCATGGAGAAGTTATCCCTTGGCAGTTAGAGCCAGAATTTGGAGAAGGGTGGGAACGAAATTTCATTTTGAGTCCATGTCACACCCTAAACGTCATGGCAGCTTCCTTGACACGTAGACCATGAACAACTTCACTAAATAAGTATGAATCGATTTTTATAGGTCTAATCTCAAGGTCTATGAGAGATCTTAGACAATGGTTTAAAGCAAGGTCAGCAATGTAACGTATGTTGTTTTGGGGTAGATTCATGCTCCAGTAAGTGCATGACTGGCCAAACTTTGAAGTGAGCTCCTATCCTTAGTCAGGTTATGAATGAGCTTTGGAAATTCTGCAATGAAATTTTTGGATGTGGCTTGAGGGTCTTCTCTAGAAGATTTTGGAACTTGAGGCGCTCGGTTTCAATGGGTTAGAGCCTTTAGGGTACTTGAGTGAATAACAGTTTGAGTATTAGGAATTATATGCTCTTGTACATTCTACACATTCCAATCTCCTGAATGAGTTTTTATCATAGTTGTTGGGATTTCTCAATCTAGTTGGTGACCTGCTCCAGAATCTTGCTTCTTTGTTTTGGGAAAGGATCTTCAAAGAATCTGGATTTTTAAATTTCGGGATCTTGATCCCCCTGTTAGGGATCTTGATCCTAAAATAATGTTTTTCAAGCCTGCTGGCAATGCAACTATACTTTTAAAATAGTTGCATTGTTTACTGGCTGTAAAACAAAGGGATCCCTACTTTAAAAAGTATGTATGGACTATTGAAGGTTAGGAGACAGATCCCCAAAAGGTTTATATTTAGATCCCAAAAGCTTGGGATCTCGATCCCTAACATGTGCATTGTATGGACAACGAGGGATATTTCAGCCTTTACAACCCCCTCGCTTCTGATCCTTCTCCAGTTCGCTCCCAATTCCAACAGCTATGGTTTTTATAGCTATGATGAGTTTGATTTGATAAATTTTTATCATTTGTAGAACTTATTTGTAGATTTTGCATTATTCTTGTATCCATATGGACAGCTGATGTATCTTGGATTTTAGGTTTCTATATGAGTACAAATTGAATACTGCCAAGTTGGAACCTCTTGTTGCCAAGGCAAGTCATGGAAACATTCTTGAACTAAATATTTTGAAATTGAGATGCCATAACAGTGCTGTTACACCATTTTCTGTGCCTGTGACCAATGTATCATTTTTCAAAAGAGTTTTTACTCTAGGAAGTCCATTGTGATGAACCTTAATGGATTTTCTAACTTACTTTTGCAGCCCCATTCTCCTGATAATCGTGCTCTAGTAAGGGAGTGCAAGGATGTGAAAATAGACAGGGTTTATATAGGATCCTGCACTGGTGGAAAGACTGAAGATTTCTTGGCTGCTGCTAAGATTTTCTTAGTTTCGGTAAGGATTTGAATTTTCCATAATCCAAAGATGTTGCTCCTTTTTTCTTGACAATATTTATGGATTTGCTTAGCACTTGGTTCAATGCGACATGAAGTTAATCAATCTAGACTTCGCGAAGTTGTCATTCCGAGTGTTTCTTTGATTTCTCCACTTATCTTTTTTCTGCGTCGCTTTCTTTTGTCAAATTTCTATCTTATTCCCTAAAAGCAAAGTGTGGGCCGAATCTTTTTTGAATTGGCCAGCTTGGTTTTTGAACCCTTGACCTTTGTTATCCATGCTGGTGTCTCACTATCACGACAAAGGCCTAATTGACTTCATACAAATAGGCCAGCTTGGTTTTCGGATTGAACCCTTCACCTCTCTTATCCATGCTGGGTGTCTCACTACTAAAACAAAGGCCTGATTGACTTCATGGACTATTTTACTCTTGCAAATTTGTTTCTCCTTTTAAATAGTCGCATATGGAGATTTAAATGGCTTGAGGAACCCTGCTAAATTCATCATGATATGTAGATGTATGCTGGTTACCATGGTCTACCAAAAAAAAAGAAAATAAAATTGACCTTTTTTGTAGTTCCTATTTTGTCTCTATGCTATCTTATTTTTCCAAGAGAACTTCAGTTAGACAAAAGAATATGCCTATCCTATATACATGCTTTGTAAAACTAAAGGGAAAGGCTTAGAGATCCATTTATTTTACAAAAATGGCAACTGCATGTATAATATCAGATAGACGCACATCTTTTTCTTAACTTAATTCTTTGTGCCATTCAAAAAACAATTTACTTGCTGGCTAGTTGTATCTTTTACTTGTTCTCATAAGGTTTAATGCTTTACACAGGGAAAAAAGGTCAAAGTGCCAACTTTTCTTGTTCCTGCTACTCAAAAGGTTTGAAGATCAATTTATTTTGGCTTTCTCTATAAATATCAATTTATTTTGGCTTTCACTATAAACTGTGGAAGTATTTTGTATGAAACTGTGAATTTATTCGTATTTCAGGTTTGGATGGATTTATATACCCTTCCTGTTGCCGGATCAGGTGGTAAGACTTGTTCTCAGATATTCGAAGAAGCTGGGTGTGACACTCCAGCCAGTCCAAATTGTGGTGCATGTTTAGGCGGCCCTCGAGATACTTATGCTCGCATGAATGACGCCAAGGTTGGTTATTTTCTTAAATTGCAAAAATCTGAGTTTTAATTTATTTTCCTTTTTCTTTTTTATATTGGTAAGACTTTTTATTTTGTTTTTCTGAATAGATCTTTTATATTCTAACATGCCAGAGCCTATGTGTATCATAATTTCTGCCACAGAGTCAAGTGATTGCTAATGATCTAAAGTCGTACACAAACTTTTCAGTTTATCTTTCTTTGTTGATGTCTATTTCTGTGCCTATTATTAAAGCAACAATCTTAGAAGCCATTATAGCCAAGCCACTTATATATGGTGGAAGCTTGGTTGGGGGTTGGGGACCCCCTTGGAATTCAGCGCTGGCAATCTTGGAGCGAGAACCCTGGCAGATTTTGCTCCTCCTCATCAGGGGATCTCAATTCCTGATTAAAAGGGATCTTGGTCCCTATGGCTTGGGGTTTGCAACCCCAGTGAGAATGGGGGCAGGATCCTGGTTTGAAGAGATCCCCAAGGGGAGTTTCAATTTTTTTTGAATTTTGAATTTGATGTCTTTGATTTTGTGCTGATTTTTTGCTTTTCTGATGATTTTCTATCTAATGACTACCTGTCAATGATTTTTTTTTTTTCCATTTTATGGTTGTGGCTGTATCAGCTATTGAAAACTGATGGGATGACTCAGGATTGCCTGAGTCAACTTGAACTCATGGGGATCCTTGGTCCTGGATATTGCCCCAGGTTTTCAGAATCAGGCAGTTCTTATTTGTAGTAAATTGCCCTGTCTTGCCTGTTTCACTGTAGGGACTGGAGCGATTTCTAAGTCTAATTCTTCTCATGACCCTAAAATATCGTTTTTCTCAATTTTGTATGGGATTTTCAGGTTATAGAGTTCTCGCTGTCCCTCTGTGTGTGTGTGGGCAAGTGCTCCCATATACAATATACATATAGTACACCTCTCCCAGGCTCCCTGAATAACTCTTCCAGGCACTTCCAATGTAGGGAGCTTGCTCCTACTCCCAACAACTATGAAGCCAACCTTAGATACCACTTTTATCCTTTGTGGCTATGAATAGCTGTGAAAGTTTATGCCTTGTTTTTGAAGCCAACCTTGCAAGCCATATTTTTCATGTGCCTTCCCACTCCCTTGCAAGCCATATTTTTCATGTGCCTTCTCCTCCCACTCCTAGGTGTCAAGCCCAAAGAAACTTTTATTCAAAATTTGTTATGATTGTTCTCAATTGTGCTTCAGCCGCTAACTGGCTTCTAAGGACCCAGCTACCAAATGGGTCCCCTTTACTTCTTGGACAAGAATGTAACTCCAGAAGGGACCTTTTTTTTTGGTGACTTGCTGCTTTCAAATCATGTGTTGCTTTCTACGATTACTAGTCTACTAATAGTCTAATAGTCCCTCTGGGGATTTATATTCATCTTTGGCCATAGATCATTCATGTTTCTAAAGGTATTGCTTTCCTATTTTTTTGGATGGACATTGTCCTATTTTTCACTGCAGTTGTGGCAAAAGTTGCATGGCCCTGGTTATGCAAAAATAGCAGGCAGGAGACTGTACTCGAGAAGTATGTGGAGCTATCCTTCAGGCCTATGTGGCTATGTGTAAATTGATCCATCGGATGCCATAAAACACTGGCCATCCTTTATATAGATGAAGCAATTTGCAAGTCAATTGTTGCTTTGGAAAACACATCTTACCCTTGAAAGTAAAAGGGTAAGGTTTTGATGAGTCAGTGGACTCATCTGTTTAAATGCAGTCTCCCTCCAAAATCCATCCTAGAGATGGCTTTTGGATCCAAAAGTTTAGGGGTTGAGAATCTCAAGCATGGTGAACATGAATAAATTTGAAATGGTATTTTTTGAATATTTGTTTCAACAGTTTATTTTAGTTTTTGGTAGGGCCACATATTTTGAAATACATCTTAAAGATGGATGTTTGATGTATAGGGGATGCAGTAGAACTGCATCCCCTGATGTATCAAATTCGTTTTCTAAACTAAAACTGTAACAGAAAATTATCATGAAATTATGAGTATACTACATCATATATCATATAGCACATAGTAAGATTACTAATATCAGCTTGGAAGGGATAAAAGGATTAGATAGTTTGAATGCCAGCATGATCAATTCAGAGTTGTTGCTTTCAACTTCTGTTGTGAGAAAGCAATTTGCATGTCCCCAGGCGCAATTAAGATGGACATGTGGGAAGGCCATTGAGGGGAAGTTTGGCGTGTCTTCCATGATGGCTTAGAAGTGTTTACCAGATAGGAGGCACAGGAGTGGCTTCTCAGTAGATTGACCTGTTATTTCATCTTCCAGAGAAGGCCACACCATATTTTGGAGAACTATAAAGAGAACCAGAATTTCAGGGCAAACCCAAAAGCTTGGGAAAGGTGGAAAACATCACGTCATAGAGCCATGGTATCGAGGGAGCTCAAAGCCATCCACTGGGAGTTAAAACTACAGGTAGGTTTCAATACTTCTTTTCGAAGCTTAAATTGCGGTTGGATCCTCCTGTGCGAAGGATAGTGCTTGTAGGCAGTGGGGCATAAAGGAAACAGTTCTAGAAAGTGTGTGGTGGGCTGTTCCTACCATTAGTAATATTTGCATGTAGGATCAAGAAGCGGGCCTTCAAGGATTTCGAGATTGCCATGTCAATATAATCAAGAGGCTGGAAGAGGTTTCATTGCTATTCCACCTCCACTTTGAAATGGGAGTTGGCTGAATTCTGAGAATATAGTGCAAAGAGTCCCAGCATTAAAGCAATGTTAGCTAGCATTGGAAAACCATCTTTCTCTTATGTCGATTACGTTTTCAACTCTCAAGCATTGGGTTCTGCATAGATGACTTTCTGGAATAGTTCATGCTCTTAGGCGAATGTGGGGCTTTTATGCATTTCGAGCGGAGGTCGATCATATGCCAGTGTTTATGCATGGAAATGAGGTGATTGATGGATATCCTAAATATGGTTGAGTAATGTGATTATGTAGTACACATTCATCATATACATCCAAAAACATTGGATCAAGCCTTCTGAAGTTCTCAATATTCGATAAAGAAAAGCCTTGAAAAGTTATTAATAAGGTAGGATGAAGGCAAGTGAGGAAAGAGAATCAGCAAGGTCAATAGAAACTAAATTTGAAGGCTGGAGCAAAGAAAATGAATATTTAATGGGTGCAGGTCAATAGAAACTAAGCTTGAAGGGCTTCTAGAGGACAGAGAGGATGAGGAGTAGCAGAAGGAGAATGTAGCCTTCTAAGGGCTACAGTAATCAGATGCGTGGCAGCAATGGTCACAAACAAGTGTGCTGTGTGAAACACTCTTAAACAAATGATGCAGAACTTCTCCCATCTTGCTACTTTTGGTTTGGTTGTTGCTAGGTGCAATTTTGGTGCTTTTCACACATCAAAGTGGTCCTCTGGGTCTTTTTTTTGTTTTTTCCAGTTTTAGACCTTGGCATGTTGATGCAAATACTTTGGAGCTAAATATGCCTCTCTTTCAGGATTTTGTCATTTCTTGCGGTTTCCCCAAATTGTGTATGTGATGATTATGTGATTAAGACTCCAAAATTATGAGAAACGTCCAGAGAACTACACACTTAAGGAACAAATTTGTCCCTATGTTTCATATAGTGGGAAAACAAGGATTTTTTCATATGATTGGGCTCTTGAGGAGTTCTAGAGACTTTCATCTCTGTTACAGTTTACATCAACCTAGTTTACAGGTTTGAACACCTTAGACTCAGGTCTTGAAATACTAACAAATTCAAAAGAGGAAATATATACAGAAAAAGAAGAAAACACATCAGCACCATGGGCATATCATGCCCATATACCTGTATGCTGGGGCACTGTCTTCACTTCTGTACTCCTCCAAGGGACTATTGCTTTCAAGCAAGTCTGATTGTCAGTGTTTTTTCCCTTCAATACTTACATGTAACAAAGACATTCACCTTATGGGTTTTCTCTCTCGAAGCGTGCAAGAAAAATTTAAGTATAGGTAGTCACTCTCTCCCAACTGTTTTGAGTATGTGTGCATAAGAATGGCCAGGGATCAGCCCCCTTCTTTACTGCGTGAGAGGGGTCTTTTATAGAGAGTGAGTTGTTGATCTTCTTGTGTCTGCGAAGTTCATCCAAAAAGAACAACTGGTTGAGGACACTCTCACATGATGGTTTCATGGGATAAAGCTGAATCCCATTTATATTCAAATGCTTCCTCATAGAGCTCTTATTGATAAGATCTAATCTTCTTTCAATTATAAATTTAAATTTAAATAAAGAACCAACTTGTTTTGGCTGATCTTATCACGAGAGGATCTGGTAATTCTGTTATCTCTGTGTCAGTCAAGCTAGTCGGTCTATCTGAACACATCTTGCTTCTATAGATGTCGCTTCCTGGTAAGGAATCCTTTGGACATGAAACTTGGACTGGAAATAAAGGACTCAAAGAGGAATGCAATGGTCCAATTCTCATCTTAAATGGGTGAATATCGACGGAGATATGCCTTGCCGAAGTCGAGCCTTTTCTGCTATAGATCTGAGCAGCAAATCAGAGCATTGCGGGTTAACTGCTTTCACCACAAAAATGTGTTGACCATAGGGATTGGTTATGTTGTAGGGAAGGTCATGAGGATCACCTCCACCAAATTTGGTGCCAAAACTCCTCATATTCCAGGAGTCATGAGGGTCCGACAGTCAAGATTTGGGACAGTTTGACTGTTGTTCCAGCTCTAATCGCTTTCACATGGAAGACTCCTACGATGCTTCCCTCCCATAGTTGATAAGATAACTGAGTCATGAATCCAATGTAGGCCCCATGAGAAAAGTCTTTGTAGTTTGGGAGAAATCTCAACTTTAGTGATTGGAGGTCATCCGGGCTACCGTATGTCTGCTTGACAGCTAATGGATATACACCTTGACCACGGTGAGGGGCCAAATCATCTCCAAATGACCGAAAATCTTGGGACAAAGGGTTACCACACCTCAAGTATGATTGTCCCAAAGATTCCATGTCAATCCTCC